CTTTGCTCTGATCCAACACTTCGAATATCTGCCGATTATATCAGCCTGCCAAGGTAAAAGACCTTCTTTGATCTGACAAACAGATAATAGGTGGTGTGAGCCACTATGGCACCACCCAATCAACCTTTCACCCAGATGCCAGGGCTGCATACAACAAGCTCACTACAAACTGTTTTAAATTTGATCATTGCTTTAAACAGAAATTATTAAATTGACACGTGTACTTTCTCCTTTCATGTGTCTTTAATACTGAAATAAATGATCATCATACAGTGACACAGTATAGTCCTAATCTTCACCAAAAACTGCTTGGATATATGTTGGTGGAATAAGTGTAGTTTGCCCTATCACAAAACACAAAGAATGGAAAGATCTGTATTTTTTATTGTAGGCACAGCTTCATAAAAATCTCACTGCATGATTTTTTTAAATAATTAATCTGTGTTTGTAGCATGAAATAAGACTTTGATCACCTACCAACCAACAAGTCAGTTCAGTTGACTCAGTTTGATTGAGGACCAAAACTGAAACATTTATTACATTTTCTCTTTCCCACTGATTCTTCAGTTTCAGCAAAGCAGAGATGGGTTCCTGAATGTGTCAGTGCAGAAAGGGGAGACCCACCCAACTCGATTTATCACATAAAACACCAGTTAGTCACTGCTACCAGTTTCTCTTCCAAGATTCTCAGAGGACAACATCATCTGAGAAATGGGAGGGATTCAGTTTTTAAATTTGGGGAAAAAAGGAGTAATAACTCAGTAATAACAGAGACAATGGAGACAGATAGACAGACAGACTCCAGAGCAACATTACAGTGATAACAACTACACCACTGTGCAATCCGTCATAATATATCATGATATTACGTGTTTTAAACATTCACACTATTTAATGGAGTAATATTTTGCTGATTGTCTGCTGGCATCATATGTAAGTACTACATCATAGTTATTACATCACCTATTACTATGTGCTACATTTCTGCCTAATAACTTTTAGCATGTCACATGTATTAATCTTGAAATACCTTGATACAATCAACCAGGCTTGATGATACAATCACAGTAATAACAGTAAAAACATCAGCTAATAAATTATGTTCTTGCTCCACATTTTGTGTATATAATCTTTTTTGAAGCTTTTTGGCAGTGAAGGGGGAAAATGCCAGAAATCTCTGTTTTTACATCAATAAATCTCCTCTCTGAGGTGACTAAACCTATTTTCTTCCACCTTTGCCTTAATCTTTGCCTCATCACGTCAGTATGCACCAAATACATACTGTCCACTTGAATTTCATCATCAGCCTCGGTTGTGTAAATGCGGCAGAAGAGGAAGATGAGATCCCTGACCCTGCTGCTGGCAATGGACGCTGGGAGAAAATCCCTGTTTCTGGATCAAACAAATTATATTTTGAAAACTATTATTTAGATATTTAAATGAATTATTTCAATTGCAGACATCATAACAGTTTTTTCTTGGACATTATTTTGAGTTTATGATTAACAGCAGGATAAATTAGCCTTCTGTAACACATTTAGGCTTTTTCAACATCAAACTGTGAAATGCTTGAAAAATATAGATCTTTTAACGGATTGGGCCAGTACTGAGATAGATGACATAAGCAGGCACACTCAATCCTACAGCCAGGTAATCACACAGGAATGTTTCCCAAATGCAGGAAGAAACATGCAACAGGTGGAGTCAACATGCAAACTCCCATTAGATCACATCTGGGACTCAAACTGGAAGTCTTCTTGCTCTAGTCATGTAGTTTCTCGACCTTCAAAACGGCTCATCTGCTGTGATAGTTTATGAGAAGAATAGGTCTTCTATGCACTCAGCACACTTATCTTCTGGAAGGTTAGAAAAAAGTGTAATATTAGAACAAAGCATGTACAACATCCATGTGGCAAAGACTGGGAAGCAGAAGTTCCAAAGAGATTCCCACTAAGATTTTCACTTGATCTGGATCAAAATGTTGTGGTTCTGGTTGTAATTGAGATGGTTTTAGGGTTTTGGGGCTTCGGTCTTTTGGACCTGCTTCCTCTGGCAGAAGATCATCAGTTTTTAGAGAATAAGCACAGAAATGCTTTCCCCTTCACAGACAATTGTTCAGCACTGATGATCAAAATGTTTTCAGTTTTTCAATGCTTATTAAAAGCCTCATGAAAACTTGAACTTTGACCCAGTAAGGTGGACTTTAAACAATGATTTTGGTTTTGGAATCAAAGTATTTCAAACGGAAGTTGAAACGGGGAACGTTGTCAGCGTCAGTAGTCTCTCAGTATGGGAAGATGTAATGTCCTCTTGACCCCCAGTTACTGTCATGTGTGAAACAGTCCATGTGAAGGACAGCAGCAGTCTTCCCAGGACTCCTAACACGTGTTGTGGGATTTATCAAGATGACCTGATCTTCTTCCCTATTTCACTGAGCTCTGCCTTTGTAGATTCAGCATCTTCTGAACTTGCCCTGCAGCTCTCCTTGGCATGCTTTAAGTAGGCCGTCCTTGAAAGACCCGAGTTATGTACTACCTTCAGACGCCACTCGGACACCCTGCAGTACTAAAACAATGACATAACAGTTTCACATGTAGACTACATAACATGTAGACTTTCATAAGCCCTGCATTGCAATAAGTCCCTTCAGCTGATCATCTTTTTCAAAGTGTTTTCTAAATGTATTTGCTAATGATGTTATATTTAATTATGTTGTTTTTTTAAAAACATATTTCTTGAACATATTAAGCTTTGAATTGGTATTTGCTATTGTTAAAGCCAAAAAATATGTATTTTTATCAAAAAAGAGAGAAAACAATTGACAGATTTAAAAGCTAAAATGCTTTAACATTAAAGGATATTTTATTTGTGCAGAATTAAATTGTAAAAGCTAAATTTGCTTAAAGCAAATACATATATTTTGAAATATATGTACAGAACTAAAAAAACTAAAATGGTTTTTAGAGAATTAAAAGCCATCTGTCAATAGATTTTGTCATTTGATAAAATTCATAATGTTAAATGGAGAATGTTAAAGGAATTCTCATTCAGGCCTTTTGTGATGTATTGAATCTAAGATCTGTTACAGTTACTGAGTGATACATTTAGTATTGAAAATAGAGTTAATTACACAGAACAACAAACCTTCCAAACTAAATCTGTGTCACATTTTCTATATCACAGCATCAAGAGAGGACAGAGTTATCACATTACCCTCAGCCTGTCCAAGGTTTAAGTTCGGCTTAAACGTAGCTGATATTTTATTTTAACTACTTAAGTTTGTGGTAAAAATACATAGTTATAAAATTTTTTTTGTGTCAGGAAAATAAAGAGATTATTTGTTCCTTGCAGTATGAAATTAACTGTCTTTAGATGACACGCTTGGGATCATTCAGTGACATGTCAACAACCCTAATATTAAACCAGATGGTGCGGCCTGCTGCTCATGTGACCCTAAAGGGCTCATTAGTGACCTTAACAGCCCTATCAGTGTGAACCTTCTGACTACATTAGAATGTGATGCTTTCAACCTCTGCTCAGGTCCAGAGAAGCATTTATGATGAGAGATGAGAAATGCTGTTTTTAATTAGATTTTGTGGAACATTTTAAAAGTCTTTTGCTCCACCTTTGACAAACTATCCAGTTATTCTAATATGTTAGAATATCAAGCAGTTTCAAAATCAACCTTTTTCAGATGAGCTCATATTAGGAACAGAGGTGATGACTCACTACATTTTCTTATGTTTAATTTTCACTATGCATACAGCAAAGTGAAAAAGTTTTTTAATATTTTGAAGTTCTTTTTCTTAAGAGACATTCTTTCAAAGTGTTGTTGATCCATATTTTCTGTGGTTTTTGAAAGTCTGAACATCTTTGTTTTTTGTGTGTGACGTGTAGATTCTAAAATAGTTTGTGTTATGAAAGCATAAGTCTTTCTATGTTGGAAAAAGCAAAACAAAGTTGAGACATTCCTGTGAAAACTGTCAAATATTATGTAAAAAAATACATTTAACTTAAAAATTCAAAGTAAATCACAAAATGTTTATTATTAATATTATTACTATTATTAAGAATAGAGTTTTTATTATCAGCAAAATCAATTTTGTTGATTTTTGGTCATCTGCTAAATTATCCAACGTGACTGTTTGGCTTGATGGCAGTATGTTTATAAGCATACTGCCATCTAGTGGTAGATTGTAGGTTTTACTTTTCACCTCAAATACTTGATCTCGCCAAACAAATTGGATTCATAATGTATGGCTTACATTACAACCTGTTTATATCTTGTCTGAGTCTGACAAAAAGCCTCGGCAGTAAATCTATTCTGCAGTATATCCCAGTCCTCTGAGTGACATTGGCAATAAGATGGAAAATTGGTGATCTGATGTATGAGTGAGTGTGGTATATGTTTTCTTTTAACCAACAGGGCAGCAGGTGCAGTCACAGAGCTGGAGCGTGAAAAGTGGGAATCCGACCTATTGGTTTAGAGAGGATGGAAACACATTCCCCCTGACCTTTCCGCTTCATTACCTGCCATGATGCCTCATAAAGTCAGGAAAACACCAGGCTGGAACGTTCGTCCAGAAGAATCCTACACTTTCTTTCCTTTGTGAAATTCAGTCGAATTTCCTCCAGTTTTTGCAGAAAGAGATTCATATACTGACTTGATTATTCGTGTTTAACTTCAACTTAACGTGAGCCAAATCTGTGTACATTTTTAATTACTGAAAAATCTAATCAAATGTTATGATTTATTGTTTAGTTTGTAGTCAGTAAAGATAACCAACCTATTTCTGCATCATATGCATCAAGTTGAAAGAACTGCTGTGCTAATTTTCTTTACTGACCTCTAGTGGATATTTGAGACTAAACAATAATAAAATCTATGAAAATGTTTTGTTGAACTTATAAACTGCTTTAGAAATTCAGAAATCAGATTTTCAAAAATTAACAGTTGATAAAAGATTTTTTTATTTTAAACTGTCACAAACACGATTTTAAACAACAATCAGTTTGATATTATAAAATAAAATAAAACCAAACATAGCAATGTTTATGCAAGACTGGCTCAGTCTTCAGGCAGCCATGATTGTCTGGCCAAGATCAGAAATATCAGTCAGAAGCAAAAAAGCAAAATACAAGTTTTCATTTTAACTTATGTATTTTTTGTGGGCCTCTGCACGAGTCTTGCATTTTCTGTCAGCGATTCATAAGAAAAATAGGTTAACAATATATATGTTTTGAGATCATGAGTTTAAATCCTCATCATTCAGAATATCTTACTTGTTTTGGAAGATCTGGAAGCACAATATTCTTCCATGATGCATCTGAACAGCCATGATCTCAACAATATAATAAAACTTTATGGATGGTGTTTAAAAGCAGGTCAGAGGTCAACCAGTCTAAAAGATGATTTTCAGACGAGGTGAGAGATTAAATCTCCAGACAGAATTACATCAGAACCCCGTCGATGGGTAATTTCTCTGCAACTTATTGAAGAAGATTTATCTAAATAAAACCACGGATGTTACATGCTACATCACCAGTCCAGCTTCCCAGAAAATAATGATTTAAATATCTAGTTAAAAGCCTCAAACTGGTCAATTTAAATTTGCCCACAACATCCATGTGTGTATAAGCTTCTAATCGGAACTGTATTTAAATGCAACAGTGTTAAACCTCACAGTAGTGGCTCACATCTCATATCTGCAAGCATATGACATCAACAACAACAAACAGGACAAATCATGCCTCCGATTCACAACAGAGGATAAATCTGCACCAGCATAACAGGTCCTGTGGAGAATATAATTCTTGATATCGTCTATATGCAGTCACTACAGCCCTTCCTTCGTCTGTGTGCATGTTGGTGTTAGGAGTGGCCTCCGTTTCGGTAATGACAGCATGGCGGCTGCTCCAGCAGGGATTACCGTGCCATGTGCTTGGGCTCCCCACTGTGCGCCATAATGAAGCAGGGCTGTGCAGACTGGAGGCCCAGTCTGCAGGTTGTTCTTCCTTCACCAGAGTTTCACGGCTCTGAACGTGACTGCATCACTGGAGATTAAAGATGTCTGCCACACAGAAGGAAGGCAGAGTTTTCTGCTTGTTCTATTGACTTGACCATCCAGTTAAAGAGCAAATCACAAAACATCAGTTCAGAAAGTGAAGGTGTGCTGTGTGAAAGATATCTGCTTAACTGGTTGCACTCCAGCCTGAGGACCACACAGTGAAGTGTGGATCATGACTCCATCCTGAGGCAGAAATGACATCCATAAAGGCTACACTTACATGCACTGTTAAAAAAATGCATTTCAGATTTGATTGACAACATTTCTATTTGTTAAATGTCAGAATAATGAAAGAGAGAGAGCATTTTACAGGTCAGTGCATAGATGTGCCATGACATGAATAGCAACAAAACTGAAGTTAAAATGTTTTGACACAGATAAATGATCAGGAGTTCAGCATGAAATTTCAGTTATTACAGCTAGAAACTAATAATCAAGTCTAAAATCAGACCTGAACCTTCAGTCACACAAAGAGAATTACAAAATTGACCTATGACCTGGAGAACATCTCCAGCATTCAGACACATCTGAAACTTGCTGATGCTGTTTTACATTATAGACATCTGACGTTTATTTAGTGCTGTCACATCCGCCCATCAAATCAAAGCTCTTGTTTGTGTTTGAATCCCTCCCAGGTGACGTTTTGTGGTTGGAAATCTCCTGAGACCAACTTCACAAAGATAGTTCTGCTGGGTCATGCATTTCAGTTCATCCTCAAGCAATAATTCAGTGGATTATTGCACTTTGTGTTGCAGAAGTCTTTGAGGTAAACTGATCACTATTGCTGTGGTTTTAACCTGATCTACCTGAAGAGGATTTTGCAGACAAACAGTGAGTCAACAATGAGTTTTCTGTTGACACAGTTTGTGGTACTTTAGGCGCATAAACTATTTTTATCCTTTCCTTTGTTACAGTTGTAAAAACAGACCATTTCTCATCTCTGTGCAACAGTTTTACATCTTCTTAAAGGCTTAATGGAGCTACAACAAAATAAAACAGCTTTTGTGGGTGTGATATAATTTTTTACCTGAATATTTGAACAGAATGTTCTCTATTTTAGCTTTTAAGGCCAGAATGAGAATCTAGTGGCTCCTCTCCCCTCCAGGTCTGTGTGGATGTTCAGATCCTGCAAGATCAAGCAGAGAGAGCAGCTCTTAGAGAGATCAATACTCCGTAGTGGATTTCCTATATCAACCACACAGAAATCCTACCATCTGTGACATATAGGTTGAGCATATAAGTCACTGCTGGATGGGATCCAATCCAATAAGTCGCTCTCCACACCGTCTGTTCTTGTTGGGTTGGAAATGCTGGATGGGCTGACAGAAGTGCACGAGCAGAGACAGCAGGTAATGGCACCAGGTGGAGTGTTCACTTTTTTTCCACTTTTTCACAGCAGTTCAGATTTTTTTTTTCAAGTTTTTTAGCTCTTCATACCCATATTAATAATTTTGTTTTCCAAAATTTTTGCTCTAAAAGGTGCGCCAACAAACATACAGGAATGAATAATCAGGAAGTCGGAGTAGATCTGTCCACCTGGCCTTCAAATCTAGAAGGTTTCAGCATCATTTGGCTTCAGGTTTTATTTTCTTCAGGATTCAGACAAGACAGCTGCTGATTTAATCAAAACATGATTTGATAGTAATTTTTCTGCTTTGAATTAGTATAGAGAAGACAATATTTAACACAATATTAGACAAGATAAAATTACAAAAAATAAATATTTTTTTTATGACAGACACAAAACTTGTCTGGTATTTGCAAAACAGCCAATCCAGGAGCGCCATGCATTTTCCTGGCACTGATTGGTTGTAACCTCAAAAGTGGAGATAAGGTAGATTGTGGATGTTAGCTTCAGCTGTAGCACTCTGTCAACTTCTACTGTGCAGTCTAATATTGAGTTATATTTGGTGTTTGAACTATTAAATTAGAAGTTATAAACACTTTTAGAAGGTTGTTTCAAGTATTTGTGGATTGTCGCTTTTTGCAGGCGGTGTGGTTCTTAAACCTTTGCTAATACTGGGGATCTGCAAATCATAAACTGTTTGAGCTTTATAAAAATAGCATAAAAACTGAATTATTTTTACATACAGCACTTTTGCACAGTTTGTCACATTACATCCAAACATTTTAAGGGATTTAATTGACATTTTCATAAGGATTTTTAAGCTTTTGTATTCAGTCTTACTGAGTCAAAGCTATGTAAATACAAAACTTGTAATTGCAGGTGAAGTTGCATATAACTGTGGGAATGACTCCACCAACTTCACAGATCTAGAGACTGAAAATGTCTTTACTGTAAAGTTGCAGAAGATCAGTGAGTCAGAAGATCAAACCAGAGCTGACATGAAAATGAATGTTCAGATGCGTTTGAACTCATCTGAAAACACATCTGAACATTAATCTTCATCTCAGCTCTGGCGAGATGTTTATGTTTAGGAAAGTGATGAAACGATCAGAGCTCCGAGAAATACTCAAAGCTTGCAATGTTGTTGCAGACTATGACCTTTAAACTTCTCCACAACACTTTACCTGACCGACAAATAGATACAGGCCAAACTTTTCAGATTTTTCTTTGTAAAACATTTCCTTCCACTTCACAAATATTATCTGGAATTTTAGATCTTTCACTATGTTAATCATAAATTCTTTTTAAGCCCCTGGATGTTCTGTTTAATTTCAAATATTATTACCTTCACAAATACAGGCAACAACAACCAGGAAGTACTGAGGTCCAATAACAGGCAGAAACTTTTTAAGTAACTGTTCCTGAAAACAGAACAACAGAGCATGTTAAATGTTTTCACTATATGAATAAATTCATGGAATATCACAATACACACTTATCTTATGATAAAATGTGATACAAATGTGTGTACAAGTAAAAATAATACAAAAACACTGCACTGTTGGTGTTTCTCAGATCTCTGCAAAAAATAAAAAAAGCTTTTTGGGGGAAATAAACTTTGGTTACAAAAAAAGAAACAAAATGTCAGAGACAGAAAAAAAGATGTCCTAAAAGATAAAAGTAATAAAAAATAAATACGTTTTTTTGGGAAAGCTGGGACTGACAAACATCTGGATTCCATAAATACGGAAGCCAACAAATATTTTTATGAGATGTAAACAGTGACAACTTTCCTGCATGAGCCCTGCTGGCATGTTCATCTCCAACTGCGCTCACACCGCAGATCAGGACAGAGAGAAGGCGATGATTTCTCTTCTGAAAGAAGCAAAGTGTGTGTGGAGTCAGAGATGGATTTGAAATATGAAGCGATAAACTCTGCGATGATTGTAGGAATGACTGAGTGCAGCGCTGAGCAAATATTTGACCACACAGACACTGAGGAAATACATCAGGCACAACATTTATTATAGATTGTCAAATACTTTATTGCGGTGGCATGATTTTAATATTTAAAAACTCAGAGGTGTTCTGTTATGCATTCTCCCATAACTGGCTTCCATTTCCATATTAGGATATTTCAGAAAATTAATAACATTTCTCAATATTATTTAGAATATTTTCTGTTTCACAGAGCCAGTCTTTGAAAGCCACTGCAGCACCACTACAGATATTGAGTTTTAGAGGAAGTTTTACTTTTTAATTTCACTTTATTTTTAATTTTATGATCCAACAAGGTTTCATCAGTTTAAAAAATGTCATAAATGAAACAAATGTGATGGGAGATTGAAGTGAACTCATCTGAGCCGCTGGTTCCAACAGAACATGTGGCTCCATAACCAAATCTGGTTCTTAAAGTTCGTCTCAGTTGCTTTTAATAACAAATAATAACAAACTGATTTGTTTCTCTAAAAATAAAGACAATAAAAATACTTGTCTACAAACAGTTTGTGTAGATTTTTCACAATTTAAAGACATTAATGATACAGAAAGCATTTGCTTTTGTTGCAGCTGAGGTAAATATTTTTTATTTTAATTTTCCTCAAGTATAGAATAGACAACTCAAGAAAAATGTAAAAATATAAAGATACAGAATTATTAGAAATGTGTTAAAGCGTTTTCTACTGTAAACCTTCTAAGTGTATCGATTCTGCATTTGTTTTTATGAATTTCTGCAGTTTTATGGGACCGTCTGACCGTTGTCTCTGAACAGAGCAGATTACATTTCATCTGAGATCCAACTGCTGACGTTCAGGGTCTATTGCTGGGGCTTCAAAATAAAATTATTTAAAAACATCAACTAGTTATAAAATGCTTTCAGAAATGCTGCTTACGTCCAAGTTATTTCCTTGAAGTTATGAAAAATGTGGCAGCAATTACTGGTGCTGACGCTGCCAAAAGTGGGTTTAGTTACAGAGTTTGAAAACTGCCAGTGTAATTATTACATTGGTGCCTTGTGCAACTATGAAAATAATTACACACTGAGTAATGTACAGTGCAAAAGTATTCATACCTCAATGTTTTCCTCTTTTCCATCGCACTGCAACAACAGACTTCAATTTATTTGGTTCATGTTTTATGTGAGAGAGCAAACATGAAGCAACAAATAACTGTGAAGTGGAAAGAAGATGATAAACAGTTTCTAACATTTTTTTTATGAATATAAGTCTCCTGCAGTTTTAACAGAGTTTCTTCCAGGATTGTCCTGGACTTAGCTTTAAACTTCTCCAGACCTTTTTCTTGACCTGCTTCTGGCTTCCTGGGTCTTCATGATGCTGGTTGATCTCCAAAGAATCTGTAAGTTCAGAAATGCACAAGTGGACTCCATTTATAATCAGACAACTTAAGACCACACCCATTAATCGCACAAGGCATTACTCAGAGGTAACAGAGTAAAAAGGGCTGAGTTCAAATGAATGGCACACTTTTATTTCTAAAAAAGATTTGAACCATATTTGTTTTTCAATTCTTAATTATGCACTACTTTGGGTTCTATTGATTGAACTGAAGGTCTTTGGTGATTGTGAAGCTTCATAATGTTCAGAAGGTGTTAATACTTTCCCAACACTCTAAATCACAGCCCACCACATTTTCAGAAAGCTGCATTCTCCCGAGTTATGTTTATTTGATAATTAAAAGTAAAACTCAGCCAATTGAACTGCGTTAAATGTTCGCTCATATTCTGTCTTCTCATTTCAGAGTTTTAACACAGTTGCAAAGTTTGTCAAGCCCTGCTGGAACGTTGCTGACGAGTACATAAAGTCCCGTTGTGAAGCTAAACGGACTGACTGCAGTTCTGACTCACATGCAGCAGCAGGTAACTCGGGGCGTAGTGCCTTGCCCAGGGGCTCAGAGACAAGAGAAGGCTGGAATCAAACCTGAAACTTTCTGATTGTAACACAACTACAGTGACCTGAAATACCACAAAGAATCACAACCAAATACATTTAAGTAAAATTCTCAACATTCCACAAAGATTTGTGTGTGTGCCCACCTGTGTGGTATAAGCACAGAAAGGCCAGTAACCAAACAAGGATGAGAGAATAAAGAGACAAGAATTTACTCATGTGTCCATATTTCTGCAGAATCTGTCCCATCACCACACAACATGAAAGCACAGAGATTTCTCTTGGAAAACATTTCTGTTTGGACTCAGGAACTGAACTGAAGTTGGAATTAGGTGAATAAATTGTGACGTTGTGTTTTTTCTTTGCTTGGCTTCCCAGTAATATTGCTCATTTTATGCTCAGAGATGTGATGTTTGTACAGCTGGAACGTTGACTCGGTCTGTAAAGTGTGACATTAACTCTGCAGGCGTTCCTGCCTTTGTTCCTGCCATCATTTCAACTCCGGCGCAGAAATATGGCAGGTTTGTATATTTTGCATGACTGAACATGATCTTTACAGAGAGACTGAAGAAATGCAAGAGCGCAAATGTTCAGTGTTAGGTTGGATGTTTAAGGCTAAATCCAAAAGAAAAATTGAGGAACTTCTTGTACTTTGATTCTGTCATTCTGACTTTCTTTGTTCGTCCATTTTCTTTGCAACTAAAAAAAAATAAAAACAACTCAGATTCTGTTTCTCACAATTTCGCTCTGCCCTTTCTGACTCACCTTGGGTTGTGAAGATTGTTGGATGTGAAATGAAAGAAGCACTAAAGCAAACACAAGTGCTCAGGTGTAATTTTCTAGCTAAAGCTGGAGCCTGGGAAGCGGTCGTGCCGAGTTGCTCTTCAAACTCAGACTCTGGGTGGCTGACAGCCGCAAAACTGAGGTAAACGTCAATTAAGCTGTTACAGAAGATGGCAGGCCCAAAGAAAACAGAAAACAGTGCAGGAGGGGGGCAGCCTGTGTAAACTGCAGGTGTCTCAACACGATGCTGTGGATAAGGCTAAAATGTTAGCAGCTATGGACTTGTCGGGTTAACGTGACAAAGCATGAGAAAGACTTCAGAAACTGATTATTCCCATAGAAATCCTGTAGATCTTCCAGTTGTTTTCAGTTTCATCCAGTAAAAGCAGAAATGATCTGGGATGAGTTGTATACAGTTTGGAACATCACACAGGCTCACTGATAGACACTCTTTAAATTCCTGAAATACATGGACCAACCTGTGGTGGCTCATGTTACGAGCTCCACTGTTTTGTTGTTATAAACCACAAAACATATGTTAATAAGATGCAGAAATACTCAAACTATGTTTGACTTGTTTCTGCATTGCGGTTTTCATGCTTGTCTTAATCTAAAGTAATTCTAGTTCCAGGAAAAGCACTAATTATGCTCTTGTCTTTGTTTTTGGATAAGATGAAAAACTTCATTGTCTAGGTAGACATTTTCTTTCTGTCTCCCACCTCAAAATGAGACACATTCAAACATTCATCAACAGAAAAAGCTAAAGAATGATCTTTATATTCAGCCCTCAAATGAATCAGAGACCAACTTTAGCAGCACTGGCCTCCAGCAGAGCTCTGCCACACTCTGTGGGAACTTTCACAGTTAAGTTTAAAAAAAAGTCCAAAGCTAAAAGCTAAATCTTTTCTGCTACTTGTCTGAGCTGGAAGACATTTAAGCATTAAAACTTTTGTAAACAAAATGTTTTTTATTTATTTGTTGAAAGTGTCACTATGTCTTCACAGTATATTCTGAGTCAGATAATCTTAAAAAAAATTAAGTTTCTCTGCCTCCTGCCAGTAGTTATACTGCCATCTGCAGAAATACTTTGCTCTTTCAGAAACAACAAATCAGAACAAGAGGACAGTCTTACTGCTGTTAATCATGCTTGTGTAGGCCATGCAGCTTGCTTGCAGCTAGCCTACAGCTTGTTTCCCACCCCGTCCATGAAAGCACAAGTTAATTAGTATAGCTACCGATAACGACAGATAAGCAACTTTTCCTGTAATGTCAAGGTTTTTCTGTACCATTTGTACATTAAGCAGTGAACACATGAGGACGACTGACAGCACTAAGACCCTCCTTCTGGATCTGGTTGGTTGCTTCTGAGCTGGAGCAATGTATTTCTGCAGATGGCAGAAGGACCACTGGGAGGAGAAAAAGGAGCTGGGTTGTTTCATAGACTGTATCTGCATCCTGACAGCTTTAACAAATATGTAAATGTACATAATATATATTTATGAAAGTTACACTCTGCAGCTGTTTTCAGGCTGCAACATGCAATTCCTGAAAAGTGACACTGTGGACATAAAATCTTCCAGACCTTCTCTAAATGTGAAGCGGGCCTGATGGACATTTTGAGTTGAGCTTACTGAGTCGGGACAGTGATGTCTTTCTGATTAGCTTGTTAGCCTAACAGGACTCCGAGGATTTCTTCACTTTTCTACAGACTCATGTTGATCTGACGACAACAGCTGAGGGAAATTTTACAGATGATTTCTCAGCTGAAATTTTCCAAACTATCCCTTTAATTCAGACTCCTCTTTATTGGAACTTGAATATTGTCTTTTGACCAGATGGCAGCAGAGCTTCTGATTTTTGATTCAGTTGTAAAAATAGCAGGTGATATTCACCCTTAAAAATCAGCCGTATCGTCTAAATTGTCAAGACCCTCATGATGGAGCCTTTTTTTCTCCCTTCAAGCTCCATGAGAGCTGCTCCGCTGATCTTTTCAGCATGCTCTCAATGTGCAGAAATTGATTTGGAGAGAAAACAACTCAGATCTGTGTGTGTGTGTTTTGTTTTCATCCCTCTTTAATAGAACTTCAGAGAGCAGGAAGTGTGTGCGTCATGAAATCCGTCCTGGTTATCTGCTTTCACACGCTCTAGTCTGCCGCCTGCCCTCCAACTGCTCCCAGCCTCCACAGCCAGAGGAGCTCCAACACGGCTGCACGAATGGCACATGTATACTGAACAAACACGCAGCAGACACCGGCGCTGAGCAGCGCCTGAACTCCCCACAGCACAACTACTCCCAGCAAAACTCACTAAAATAAAACACTTTCACCCGGTTTTAGATCGACGCTTTTATGAAAAAAAAAAAAAAAAACATTTCTAGTTTTAATTTTGAGCAAAGTAAACAGACACAAATGTTGCAATAAATTGAGGCATCTTCTGATTTATTTTGAAAGATTGCCAGAGAAGCTTTTTTCCTGTTAGTTCAGATGGGTTGTCATGAATCTTGTGGAAAACCTCTCTTCAGGCCTTAGGTGAGGGTGAGAATGTGTGAGGTCACATCATGTGACCTTTAGCTGAAGCTGCTGGGCCACCATTGGTTAAGAGCCAAACACTCCACTTCCCCCAGACACAGGAGTCCTCTCTGCTGCAGAGCTCAGGCTTGTTGGCCCAACTCTTGCCAAAGTGTCTCACTTGCAAACTACACCTGCATACCAACATGTGTGCAAACATACGTATGAAACAGGCTGGCGTGTCTCCCATCCTCTCTCACCTACAGACAGCACTGACCTCACCCAGCTGAGTGTTTCTGTCCCTTTGGAGTCCTGCTGTGATTTAATTTGGCTCTGTTGCTTCATTGCCTCCTTCAAATAATAAACTATTGATCTGAGCCACCCTGCCTGCTCTGAAACATCCGGAATCTGTGTTCATTATCTTAACCCATATCCCTCCAACTCCCACATTTCCTGCTTGCTGCAGCAACACAGAGTTACTAAACAGCAAAAGAACGGATGTCATGCAAAAAGGAGAAAAATTTTCATATTAATTTGTAAAAACAATTCTAAGTCAAATTTTCTACATCCATTGTTCACCCAAACTGGTTTCCTAGCATTAAATATAATCAAAGTATTTATTAAAACCACAAATCTTCTGTGAAGAGAGCTGTCATCACCAAACAGCTTCATATTTAATCTGCGTGAATCTTTAGCGGCTGTGATTATTTTTGCTGGGTTTTTGCATTTGTTGTCTTTTTAATTTAAATTCTGCTGAAGCAGCGAGTTTCTCTTCTAAAATCATAGTGGAACAAATTCCCCTCCGTGATGAACTGCGGGTTGTGGGTAAAATGAAGCAGGCGATGTGTGGATTTCTTTGGCGATGGGACTGAAAATACCATCTTTATTCACGCATTTTATCATTACAAATTTTACACGTGATGCAATAATTATAAAACAACATTATGAATCCATTAAGAAAGTGTTTTTTTACGCATAATTTAGGATAATTATTTCAAATAAATATAACCAGTTTGTAAAGCCGTAAATTTAATGTAATTTTATTTTTGCTTAATCAAAAACGGTGTTACATTTCCTGAAGTAAAATTATTAAATGTATTTTCAAAAAGTGAAGACCTAACTTCCATGCAATAATTACATTTCAAAGACACCTATTTTTTGTTTTAAATTAAATATAAGTTGATGCTTACCTTGGAGCAGAAGTGGGAGCCACAGAAGCGTGCAGTCCTGATCAGCGCGTCACCAAATGAACGATTTCCCACTGATTCCTCTTCAGGTCTCATGTTGATTGTGTCGATGTGTATTCAGACTGCAGACTTGTGTATTCGCCCGGGTTTATCCCTCCACCCCGCCTGTACAGGATGATTATTTCTGCGACTTACCAACTCCATCCAAAGGTGACACTTGTGGAAAATCTTAAAGGGTTTGCAGCTGCGCACGGCATATATGGAAACGGGTGAACGCTTCGCTGGTGTTTGTTATTTGGCACTTTTGTAAAAACAACACTCCGGACTTACTGAGATTTATTTCTGCTCATAATAAAGCCCCATGAGAGGCGACCTCAGGCGAATCTCACAGTGGATCTCCGGATCGGGCCAATAGACCACCTTTGTGCTAAAAACTGGGGAAGGCTGCACTTTTACATCCCATATCTGCATTATGGCGGAATATAAAAGAAATAAAATATAAATATAGCATTTTGATGCATGCATGTTGCACATATTTTCTTTCTTTTGCCGAAAGTGGGGCGTGTTTCCTCCGTGATTTCTTCCATGAACTCTTCCCCCGCTTCCTCCTGCACGCATCCCCGGCCTTCATACCTCTGCAGCTCTGCATGTTTGCTCAAGCTTCATACTCATAGTTTGTTTGGCTTTGTCACGTTTGTGCACATTTAAAGCATAAAAAATCAGCAGCAGCAATGAAAACAATAAAAGGGCAAACAGATGACTAAGGCTGGTTGCGTGTCTACAAAGAAGAACTTGTTGGAAACAAAACAAAGCAACTTTTAAGGTATGTACATAAGAGTCCAACAAAGCAGGGTTGACTTGATGCATGGCTGCGTTTGAATCGCCTTATTTCTTTTTAAACTTTATTCTAAGGTTTCATTGACTCTAAAAAATCCACTTGAGTGAAGGGAACTTAATGGATTGCTGTCTTTGTTGTGCGCGCCGCCGCGCAGCTTTTTGTTGATTCCCGTGTTATTTCAAGCCCCAGCGAGCAGCCGCGGCTCTTGGCTGGAGCAGGCAGGCAGACAGACACGCATTCTGGGGCTAATCTGCAGGAGCATCCCGGTGCTATGTGTATTGGAGCGGCCCATTGTTTTCCTCTATAGATTAGCCGCACAAGCGCCTCAGACAATCGAAAGATTATAGACAGACTGTCACTACTTTGCACAGACGTCTTGCACAAAGATTCAATAAAAGTCGCCCAGCAGAATGTTTTTGGAACAATATATTTACTTCCATTAAATAAAACACAATATTTCGGGAATTGATGGGGAAAAAAACAACATAATTCCGTACCAAATAGTATACACAGAGCAAAAAACCAAATCATTTGTCGCAGGAACATTTTTGGATGCTTATTTTTTTTTAATCCAGAATTGCTATTCTAAATCGATATTCACACAGACATTAATAATAAATTTATAATATGTTCGAAACACAACTGGTGCGTCTTTAGTATGTACATTCCCTTTTTGTTTGCAAGCAAAACATGATTCCTTTTTTTATTAGGATTTGTATTTTTTTTTATCCACATGCGTCGATAAGTTGGAACCTGGAGAGGAGCCGCAGGTTGGAGCGCAGCCGCTTCAACAAACAGGAGATGATCATTCAAATATATTTACACCAACATTTCTGTCAACAGTTAACGTCCAGAATCCATCAAGGAGAAAAGCCCTCATGACGAGCTGTGAAAAGTGAAACAGGCCTTTATTCAGATTTTTTTTTTTAACTCAGTGAATGAGGCCATCGCTCATCGGAGAGGAAGAAACTTAAAAAACTCCCGGTTCGGTTTGACTCCGAGGAGGAGCTGAGTGTGTTTCAGTGGTTCAGTCTTCTAGTGCCCTTGTTTTGAAAAAGAAAAAAAAAAGAGAGAAAAGTAGCTGTAGTAGTCTCTTGTTTCTGTGGACGGCTGCTATTAATTATCCGCACACTGCAAAAAATAACCACCGTCACAAAAATAACCCTCTAAATTAGATTCCCTGCGTGAAAATGAACGAAAGTCAATAAGAGCGAATTGAGTCACATCTTTCCTATTATTTGATGGAAAAGTTGAGTCTTGGGGTGGATGGTTACCAGGCGAGCAGTAAATTCCCTTTAACACTTCAAACAGTTCAAAATGATCTTTTGTGGGTTAAAAATGCTTTGTCCTCTAACATGTCAGCTCGGTGGCGATTTTTTGCAGTGCAGGTAGCAATTAGACCGGCCTGTCCACCGCGTACTGGCAAGCGCTCAGATTGGTGGCTGGATTCTGAACCCCCGCGTATCCAAAACTCGAGTGCTGCTTGGCTTTCAGTCTCAGGCTGGCCAGGCTGGAGTTACAAGTGTCTCTGTACACGTAGGGCGGGGTCGGCGGCGCGTAGGGACACGCCGGCGTGGGCACCCCAGAGTTGAGGGAAGGATTACTGAGGTTGTTCAAGTTATTGAGGCTGTTCAGGCTGGATCCCGGCACGCCGGTCACCGCGGATGGCACCATGCTGGAAGTCATGGACGAGATGGAGTTGGGCGGCGAGAACATGGTCTGCGAGGATAAAGGGTTGACGTTCATGGAGTTGAAGAAGGGGAAGCTTTTGGTGGATAAGGAGGCGGACGTGAGGCCCTTGGCGGCCCAGTTGTTGTACGTGTAGCTGGGATACATGTCGTCGTACGGCTGCATGAGTCCATTGAACTGCGGGCCGAAGCCGTTCTTACACAGCTCGGCTTGCTGGTTCCTCTCCCGTTTCCTCCACTTGGCTCGTCTGTTCTTGAACCAAACCTAGAGCACAAAAATAACAAATATAAGAGATAACAAACACTTTTTTATTTTTATTTTTGTCATTCGTGCATTTTTTTATATTGGGTTCTAATTTTTCTCCCTAAATGTACAGAATTAAAATAAAATCCCTTCATTCCTATTTGCGCAGAGCTCCAGTTTTACAGCCGCCTCTATCTGCGCGGAATACACACTGCAGTCTCAGTGGAGCATCTTAGCGTGGAGTGGATGTGTATTCCCCCGCATGCTTCCACAAACACTCTGACCTTAATCACACAACGACAGGGCGACAATCGCAAAATACAAGCTTTGCACCTCTTTTACACGGAGAGAAGAACACAAGTGGCATGTCAATGGCCTCGACTGTTAACAGCGTCATCACTGCCTAATTACACCTAATAGGCAAATAATACATTGAGTAATTTATCATTATTTTTAAAATAATTAAACGATAAGGATAATTTCCAGGTTATTTGTTGTGGGGTGAATCTTTGCGCGTTGCGTTATAATTGATCAAGTTTATTGAAATGAACTTAAATTAAATGTGTTTTTATCCTGCAATATTTCAAAATTAATTTCCCTTTAATTATATTATGAGTACCATTTTTATTTGTCATATTGTTCTACATTTGAGCAATCCATAAAGTTTTCTTTACGCGCGTAATTGTGCCAAAATGCCGCATAATTAAAAAACTATAAATTGTATTCATGTTCAGAGGGAATGAGAAGTGCTGCGCTTGGTGTGTGTGTGTGTGTGTGTGTGTGTGTGTGTGTGTGTGTGTGTGTGTGTGTGTGTGTGTGTGTGTGTGTGTGTGTGTGTGTGTGTGTGTGTGTGTGTGTTAACGCACCCTGACTCTGGCCTCTGTGAGGTTGGTCCACACGGCTATCTCCTCCCTGGTGCTCATGTCCGGGTAGCGGTTCCTCTGGAAGGTGGCCTCCAGCTCCTGCAGCTGCTGGCTGGTGAAGTGAGTCCTCTGCCGCCGCTGCCTCTTCTTCTTGGACGGGTCGTCCGAGGAATCGTCGTTTTTATTTTGTATTTTTTCTTTTTCTGTAAAAAGAAAACCGGGTTTTTAGATTGATGTTTGGCTGTTTGAATTTAAAACAGAATAAAACCCAGAGTTTTTAAATCCTTCTGAATAAGTTTTTATTGATTTTAAAAATATACTTTTTCCTTTTAAATTGCATTCTATTTTTTATAATAATGCTGAAAATACAAGAAACTATTTAAACTGTTTAAAAACAAACAACACAGAAAACAATAATTCACCGTCAAACCAGAAACAAACGAGCTGCTTTCAAACTGACAGCTCCGGTGTTTATGAATATAAATTTCCCTTCATGGTGACTGATAGCAGCTATTGTTTCATAACCAGATGATCTCTGGGCTCCGGGTGAAACCCCGGCCGGTTCTTACCCACAGACTCCGGGCTCGATGTGTCCGACACAGTGTGCACCTCTAACCGGTGCTTAGAGTCCACGGAGCGCTGCAGCGGCTGCAGGCTGGACGCCATCGCCAGAGCCGTGTGGTGCGTGGAGGCGAGTTTATTCCCTGTGAGGTGGTGGTCTATATTTAATGGATCCCTCATAGAGCTCATCGGTGAAAGATCTCACGAGCTTCTAGCACAGGAAGGCTGAGCGGAAAGTCCGACTCCGGAATGTGTTCAGCTGTCCAAAAAGCGCACAGCAGCACAGTTCCTCTTGCTGAGATGAAGCCCTCGTTCTGTTTAAACTGGAGAACGCTTTAAAACAGGCCATTGAGTTTTATCACAGCATCGGTGAAAACTGCGGCTACCTTGGCTGACTATCAGAGTGACAAGGACAGGTAGGTGATATTAGATCCAGAGGCTTACACACACTCCAGCGCTCTCTGCTCATTTCAGCTGTTGCCTGTGCTCTGCCCATCCAACTGCGCCTCTCTCCACACCTCCACGTCACCGCTTTGCCTCCGCCCCAATTCTCTCTGACAGGCGCGTCCATGCGGATGTGCCCAACCAACCGGAGCTCACAGAAACGAGATATGTCTGCCAGTGTATTTATGCCGGGGCTGGCGCTTATTTTTCCTCTTCCAAATAAAAGCATGTAAAGTCAGATGAGACGCACGGTGTACCGAGCTGCGCCCCGAGCCGCCGCCGCGCAGCAGCCCAAGACCAAATAAAAATGAAAATAACACAGTTTGGCCTCATTTTATGAGACGGGTCCAGTGGCCCGGTAAAGAGATGGAGTGCCGCGGATACCCAGGCTGAGCCGCGCTCTCTCCGGCTCTGTCGCTGCAGTTTGCTCAGCGGATAAAGCGGCT